TGGGTATCAATTTCTCTTATCCACTATCATATAGTGTTGGAATTCATCATACTTCTATCAATTTAATGCTAATGTCACTTCTAAATCACCTATGCAAGAAGGGCCTATCCTTACTTACAAGTTAACAATTCCTAGCATTCCTTTAGTAATTAGTTCTGTGAAGTGCAGGAGCGAAGCTTAAAGGCAAACCAAATATGCTATTGGGAGAACAGAAATTCCCCGGATCGTAGACTTCCCCGTACGTTTTCAGTAGCTCGACCAAATCAATATCATGGCAAAAAATATAAACGAGGTTTTTAAACAAGCAAGCAATAAGCAAAGAGGGAAAAAAACCTCCTAACTAATAAACAAGGATGTTGTGGTGATGAGGAGTGACAGAAGTATGACAAACATTTATGCTTTAAAATTTCAAATTGTTGATGGGTAATTGCGCGTTAAAGGGTCTTGAGTGGGACGTGAATTTGTGATGATTGGATTGTGGGTTGGGAAATAAAAGAGACGGAAAAAGTGAGTTTTACGCAAATACTAAATTATTCTTGGAGTGTCCTAATGTTTTTTGTGCAGCTGAGAAATAAGTTTATTGGTCCAATGGCAATCAAGGCCCAAAATCAGATTTATTTGGAAAATTCAGAAAACGGGGCTAAAGTCAGATCGAAGGAAAGTTTCAGGCATTCTGTTGCAATTTTGGAAAGTCAGAAAAGAAAATCTAAAAAGATTAAAAAATTAAGTGGGTGAATTGAATTGGGAATATCAAACAGAAAAGACAAAGAGAAAATATCTTCCAAAAATTGTATCATTATCTAAATCTTTTTAGTTATTGGAGGACAGATATAGGATATAAGATATTAGTTAATATCATCAATATTCTTTAAAACTGATTTAATCTAAGAATATTTGAAAAGACCCCAACAACATACTCATCCATCTAATTCGTTTAAGTGTTTGTGTTCCTCTTTTCCATTGATCAAACTCATGCATACATGTTTACTTATTGTCTTTTGCATTTAAAACATACAATCAATTGTTCTTAAGTCTTAAATAATCAACAAATCATATAGCTAACTAAGCCGTGAGTCCTTTGGGAGAACGATACTTGGTCTTACCGAGTTTTATTACTTGATACGATTCGGTCACACTTGCCGATTGTTAAACAAGTTTGTGGCGCCGTTTTTCGGTGTTCATAAATTTGTCATCATCCTCCTCGGCCTCAATCGTTCGCCCCCCTCAGCCCTAACTTGGCCTCCTTGGCCTCAACTTATCGACCAGTTCTTGGCCTAACCTTGGCCTCTGGCTCATTTTTGTTTTCCATCCACTCAACACGCAAAACCGACTCAAAAACGAAAGCAAAACAAAGAACTCGTCCTTTCAGGAAGGCCATGCAAAAAAACCCCTTCGCATCACTAACATCATGTTCGGGCTTGGGGAGCTGATGTACCGTACGGTCCCCTGATGCATCATTAACATCCCACTAAACGCCCTGACCGACCATCCCGGCCGACCAACCACCAGGCCGACCGTATGGTTGGATTATAAACGGTAATAACTCATTAAAGCCCCTAATGAAAATTAAAGGCGTGATTGGACCGTCATTAGGCCGGCGAAAGGTAAAAGCCCATTACAACCAATATAAATATGATTTCCAAGTATGATCGCCAGGGCAGATTGCACATGTTGCATATTATGCATTACTTTCATCCCTCATAATCGTTCGGTCCTTTTACTGACTTGAGCGTCAGAGCACCTTTAATAGGTATGCCCCCACCTGGCTCAGAGAAGGAGGGAGAGCGAGATACGTCTGACTAGGCCTCGGCACCCGTATGCCTGCTTCAACGTACGTCCAGCTCCCAACGGTCGCCCGCTTGGAGCAAAGCCCGCCATATCTTCATCCTGAAGCGCTTTGAACAATGCTTGATCCGTCCGGTCTGCAGGCTTCACCCAGTCTTCGAGATCCGTCTGGCCGTACACATAATCAGGAGTGTTTTAGCAGGATCCCACCAAAATCGAGCAAAACATAGTGAAATCTTAAATACTTTTTTATTTAAGGGTTAAATATGTTTTTAGTCCCTAAACTATCAAGCAAATTTGTTTTTAGTCCCTCTTTTAAAATAAGATACACTTTGATCCTTCTCCTTAAAGAAACTATAATTTTTGGTCCTCCAAAACCAACAGCGTTAAAAATTCACTAAAGTGGCTAACGGTGATACCACGTCATTTTCTTAGTTTTGACACGAATCAACTTTTCCCAACTTTTTCCCTTCCTCTCCCTCCCTCTTCCTCAATCTTCTCCTTAAACTCTTTCTCAGAAATTGTCACATCCTTCAACCTTTTCACCGTCACCACCGGCCCTGCCTCAAGCACCGCCTTCCTCTACGCCATCCCGAAAGTCCCTTTCCCCAAAACCTCCACCAAAGCCCCGAACAAATCCTCCAAATCGAACGCCCTAACTGTCGGTCCTGCCTCAACCCATTCAGCTCACAGGGCAATACCCCACCTTTATGAGCTTCCACGCATTCTATGAAGCTCTTCAGAGCGTTTTTCGCGTACACCCCCATCAAAAGAGGAGGAAGGGTCATGAACATGCAAGTAATTCAACCCTTCCAAAATTTGCTTGGACCACTTTTTCAAGGCTCTCATGGACACATGCCTGTGTTTCTTTCTGTACTCCCTCATATTCCCACTGGTGCAGACCTCACTGATGAAGTTCAAAGTGTTGTGCTTCTCATCTCTCCAAACGCTGTAAAGGGAGATGAAGATTTTATTGGTCAAGCTTCTGAGCAATCTCACCTTAGAGTAAAGCCTTTCCACCATTGCAGGATCATTACTAAAGTTCCTCAGTTTCACTTGGTTCCATGCCACTTCTATCGCCTCTTCGTGATCAAATGCCTTGTACACCTTTTTCACTGCACCACATCCTAGCAATTCATTGTATCTGCCATATCTTCTTGTTGGATCAATTTCAATAAATGCTCTGAGTCTCTCTCTGATACATCAGGCTTAACACTTAGCATCTGCCACCAAAACATTAATCACAACACTGTCAAAATAAAATGCCAAAAGGTTAAATAATTGCACACAAAATTCTTTCTTAGGTCTCATTTTCAGATAACAGAATCATCTGCTACTCTAGTTTGTTAGAGAGAAAAAAACCTCTTTGTGAGGCGTAGAGGAAGGCGGTGCTTGAGGTAGGGCCGGTGATGGCGGTAAAAAGGTTTAAGGATGTGATGATTTTTTAGAAGGAGTTTAAGGAGAAGATTAAGGAAGAGGGAGGGAGAGGAAGGGAAAAAAGCTGGGAAAAGTTTATTCGTGTCAGAAAAAAGAAAATGACGTGGTATCATCGTTAGCCACCTCAGCGGATTTTTAACGCCGTTGGTTTTGAAGGACCAAAAATTATAGTTTTTTTAAGGAGAAGGATTAAAGTGTACCTTACTTTGAAAGAGAGACTAAAAACAGCATATAAGTAACTTACATTCCCATATAAGGTTTAAAGAATATTGTACCATATAAGTCTCTCTTTAAACAACATATACTCTTAATCCTTTCGTCGGATCCATTCCCATTCATGTTATGTACACAATATTCTTTCAGCTAAGTAATGTTACAATCAACATATAAGTAATATTACAATCAATATATAAGTAATATTATAATCAATATATAAGTTAAAAGATGGATTGTAGGCTTAACTTAATTTTAAATAATTGGCTGCTTATAAAATAGGATTTATATTTATATATATTTTTTAAATTGATTTTATCTCTTATTTACGTAGGGCTTCCAGAGAAGATAAATATGTTTTTCCATGTTTATTGAGATGCAAGGAATTTTAACCTGCCAACTGAATCCAACTACTACCAGGTTGCTTGGTAATACTCTCTTCTACCATTTTGTTTCTCAACTCTACGCAGTTTTTCCACATTGATGCTGACGCATAAATGTTAGACAGTAGAACATATGTTGAGGGTTCATTCAGTTCTAGATCAGCAAAGATGTTTGATATTCTTTCTGCTATTTCAGCATTCTCATGTTTAGTGCAAGCACCTAGGAAAGTCTTCCACAAAAGAGATTTTGACTGAAATGGAGCTTCTTTTATCACAGCCTCTGCTTCTTCCAATTTTGCTGCCCGACCAAGAAGATCAACCATGCAGGCATAATGATTTATAGTTAATTCACTGTTGTATTTACTTCTCATGTACCTAAAATATTCGCAACCTTCCTCCACTAGTCCAGCGTGACTACAAGCAGCTAAAACCCCAGTGAAAGTGACACCATCAGGTTCCAACCCAGCTTCTTTAGCTCTTTTAAACAGGTCAATAGCTTCTCTACCACACCCGTGATAAGCATAACCATATATCATAGCCGTCCAGGTTACTAAATTATGCTCTCTGATAGTATTGAAAAACTTGCAGGCATCCTTAATGTTTCCACATTTACTATACATGTCAGTAATGGAAGAAGCCACATGAAGATCAACCTCGAGGCCAACTTTGATAACCCAGGAATGGAAACATTTGCCTATGTCCAATGCTGCTAAGCCAGCAGCAGCTGAAATACAGCTGGATAAGATAGACTCGTCAACCTGAAAAATGGGAACAGTTTGGAATTCTGCAAAATGCTTAAGTGCTTCTTCATGATAGCCATTTTGAACCCATGCCGTTAACATGACACTCCAAGAGATAAGATCTTTCTCCTTCATTGACAAGAAGACCTGTAAAGCATTCAAAGTTTCATGTTTAAATACTGCATACATATTAATCAGGGCACTTCCAACAAACGGATGATATTCAAATCCTACTTTCGTGATATAGGATTGGACTTGTTTTCCTACATGTATTGCCTTCATTTCTGTGCAAGTCTGAATAACACTAACTAACGTGAACTGACTAGGTTTTGAATATAGAAGCATATCGCAGAAGATTCCCAGGGCTTCTACGAAGTGCCCTGATTCACCACATCCAGATATGATAGTAGTCCAAGAAAACTCATTTCTTATCGGCATGTTTTTGAAAACCAATTTTGCATCACCAATAGCTCTACATCTAATATACATCTCAAGAAGAGCATTTTCTAAGCCCAATCTAAAGTCATCTTCAAAAGGAATTTTAATCACTAGAGAATGAAAAGACCGTCCGTCTTTAAGCAAAAATAGGTTCCCACAAGCTCGCAGAACATAACTGATTGAAGAACTGCTTTGTGCAATACCAACTTCCCTCATCCCACAAAACAGCTCTATTGCTTTCAAATCATATGAGTTGAAAATTAAAGTGTTAATCATGGCATTTACACATATTTCATTTTTATTGCAAACTTCAAGAAAACATCTATAAGCGTCAGACACCATCCCAAAATTTCCATACATGTTGATAAATGCACTGCCAAGATATGAATCTAACATGAAGCCAAGTTTGATGACACCACAGTGAATTTGACTACCAGAAAGCTGTGTCTCCAAATTTGAGCACAAACTGACAACACTTGCGCAAGTAAATGGGTCTGGTTTGTTACCTCCAGAAAGAAAATCAACATATAATGCAAGTCCTTCCTTACATTTTCCGACTTGATTAAACCCAGCAAGTAAAGCACATACTGCCACGTTATCCTTCTCATCGAGAACTTGAAAAATTTTACGAGCATCATCTAATAATTGCAGTTTAACATAGCAGTCAATAAGAGTCCCACCCACAACAACATCGTTTTCAATCCCAATCTTCATAATCTGGCCATGAAGAGACCTTCCAAGTTCAACGTCCAACACATCGGCACAGAGTTTAACAATGATTGTGTAAGTAAAGTGGTTCCGCGACACAGAAGAGTGCCCCATCTCATGAAACAACTTTAGAGAACCCTCCAAATCAGACACCTTCACATAAGCATTCAGCAAAGTATTCCACAATGCCTCACACCTTTCACCATAACAAACCCCATCAAAAACCTTCCTCGAGTTCTTAATATCCCCACAATCACCATACATGTGAAGAATCAAAGCACTGCAAAATCTATGCGAATCAAAGCCACTTTTGATTACCAACCCATGAATGAGCTTCCCCATCACAGCATCACACGTCTCCTTGCAAGCCTTGAGTGCCACAGAGAAACCAAATTCATTGGGGCGCACCCCAGATCGGCACAAGCCACGAAACAAACTCAGACCCATTTCATGTTGCCCCGCGTGAACATAACAAGAGACCAAGCTTGTCCAAGAAACCAAACTCGGCTGAGGAATTTCATCAAACAACTTACGTGCATTCTGAACTTCTCCAATATCTCCGTAAAATCTAATCATGTTGTTTTGTATAAAGACATCCATGAAGAGGGCACTTTTAACTAACAGAGAGTGAAGGATTCTGCCACATTTTACGTCTTTGTGGTCCCTCAGCTGCTGAAAGAGGAAGACGCAGTCTTGGAAACAAAATCCTCTATTGTTCTGGAATTCAAGGGATGCTTGCGAATGGAATTGTTGTGTTCTGGTCAACATTGGTTTGATGGTCCAATTTGAGAATTGGATTCTGAAAAACAAATAAATCCCAGTGACTGCATGCCTGGTTCGAGTGGAATTAGTTGGGAAAAAACAGGGGATAACCATTTTTGAGAACGGGTTTTGGATTGTTCAGCTATCTTTCCAATTCCACATTTTTGTACCCTTTATTCAACAAGTTTTGATTTTGTCACTGAATCAACCGAAATGTGAAAGCGAGAAGACAAGGTGATGAACAAAATCCCTTCCATTTCACGTCTTAAACGAATTCTTTCAAAAGGGAAAGTTGGGAAGTATTTTCTTGAAAAACTTCTGCCATTGAGGAATTGGGTTTTTTCACCAAACTATACATATTTGCCTTTAATATTACCGAAATGGACAAATTCAACCAAAATTACGAAAATGGGGAAGTCGTGGGGGACCCAAACGACTTCAATTGAAGAAGTCGTGCCCCCCGCACGACTTCACCCTGTTCATTTGACCAGGGTTGAAGTCGTGCACCCCATAAACGATTTTATGGTATGGTAATCGATTATCACATGTTGTAATCGATTACCATACCATTTTTAATAAAAAAATATAAAAAAAAATTGAAATTGTAGGGGGGTTCACGACTTCAATAAGAGAAGTCGTGCACCCCCAACACAATTAAACAATCACTAAGTCACAAAGACTGAACGCTCAAGATTGAAACCGAACACTCAAGATTGACCGAACTCTCGGGATCATTATCCGAGAATACCAAATTAGGACGAACGCTTATAATCACTATTACACCAAAACCGAACGCTCAAGATTGAAGCCTAAGAACACCAAATTAAGACCGAACGCCTACAATTACTAATACAGAACCAAGACCGAACGCTAAAGATCACTCTCTGAGAATACCAATTTAAAGACGAACGCCTACGATCATTGTTTCACGAAGACCGAAAGCTCAAGATTGAAACCTACTAATTTAAGACCGAACGCTCATGTTTACCAGCCGAGACTACCAAATTAGGACGAACGCTCACAATCATTAATCTACCACGATCGAACTCTCGAGATTGCTTCATGAGAATACTAAATTAAGGACGAACGCCTAAATCACCAATTCACTTGAATACTTCTTGGACGAACGTCTAATATATTACTAACTTGTTTTCAAGGAAGAATCCTACCGCTCGTTACATGAGAATACAAAACCGAACGCTCACTTGGCCTACAACTATTTGTACGTACGCTCCATTTACATCACCTATATTTTGCCGACCACGATTTGGTTGAGCACTGTTCGGACGTACGCTCGTTTCTGCAGAATTTTGCATAATCGCACCAGATTTTCCAGAAACCCAGAAACCCCATTTTCATCCCCTTCTTCCCAGAAACCCCATTTTTCATCCCCAATTATTAAAAACGGTATGGTAATCGATTACAACATGTGGTAATCGATTACCATACCCTAAAGTCGTTTTTGGGGTGCACGACTTCAACCCTGGTCAAATGAACAGGGTGAAGTCGTGCAGGGGGCACGACTTCTTCAATTGAAGTCGTTTTGGCCCCCCACGACTTCACTTTGGGTCAAAATTTGCCCATTTTGGTAATAAAGAGGGCATATTTGCCTAGTTTGGTGCAAAAACCGAGGAATTGATTCACCAGTTTAACCATTGAAAGTGTTAGTTTCTCAAGGAAATGTCACTGTTTCATTAATTCTAATTCTTTAATGGTTGTTTCTGGAAACCCAACTTATAGCGCACTTAAAAAAAATATTGAATTATTTCACTAACTAAAAAATAAGTGGGTTTCTATTGTGAACATTTGCAACGGTAGTGCAACTGAACCAACGTTAATTTGAAGCTGCAGGCCTCAAATTCTCAATCTGTTTTAAAGTAAAACAAGTTTACTCCTTTATTTTAATAAGAAAACCATTTCAAATTTTTGTGTAAACTTCATTACAAAATAAAAATAAAAAAACGGATTGTCATATACTGCTTTGAAGCTAAACTTATCAATCTACTTTGAAGCCAAGGAGGGGAAGTAAATTTGTCACTAATTAAAACAAAAAATTTGAAGTGAAGTTTATAAAATGTACATTATAGTACTCAAAATTGAAGTTACTGTAAATATCATTCACATTATGTATATGATGATACTCAGGGGACGACATTCGGATTGCATTTGAGTGCAGATTTATGCAAACAAAGTAAAACTGTATATGTACCACATGCCCATTTCAACACCCTCATCAATTCTTGATGAAAAATATTCAAGTGTTATAGCTACGATGAACCTAAAAGCAAGTCAATCAGAAAACAGTGTTTTAGCTAAATGTGAAACACTTTATTCATCCATTCAAGGTCTCCTCACACATCAGTCTGCACTCTGCATATTGCTTTTATGTTGAAAAGTTTCAAGTGTATAGCTATGATGAACCCCAAAAGCAAGTCAATCAGAAAACAGTGTTTTAGCTAAACGTGAAACAATTTATTCATCCATTCAAGGTCTCCTCACACATCAGTTTGCACTCTGCATATTGCTTTCATGTCGAAAGCTTATGTCTGGTATACATTTTCACATGGTTTGCTGTCCATCTTCAATGTCAAACAAGAACCATATCTCATTCACCCTGTTATCATATTCAAAAGGGGCATTGTACTGTGCAACAGTGTAAACAGAAGTATGATTAGCACTCTTGCTCTTCTCAACTGCAGCACCCCACTTGGTTCCAGCAATACTATCCTTCAAGGCTGCAGCTTGCTCCCCAACTTCAGAATCTTTGACAAATCCACCAAACTGTCTAACTGCTACATACACAGTCTTCCATCTTTGAACATGAAGGCCCTTTGCAGGGGGCGGGTTTGCTTGGTTCTCTTTCGGCACATAGAAGCTCACAACAAATGAGGACTCACAGAAAGGTCCATCACTGGGTGATACTTCAGAGATCACAGGTGCTGTCATCTCAATTTTCTGCTTGTAGTTGTTCTTACCCTGAATATAATCAAATAGCCTGAGCAAAAAACGAGAAGGTTACTCAAATTTAATTAGCTCCTTAGATGGGAGTATCCTATGCCATAAGCACTAACTGAAAAAACCTTTCGAAGTGTAGAAAAACAAGTCCAAATTCATGGTTTTAAATTATCTGATATCATAATTGTGGCTTCAAATTTGCAATTTTAAAATCTCTGATGCTATTACAAGCAGTTACATATGCAATTTTCCTGCAGTCTTATTAATCGTGCTGCAGAATAGTAACCCTTCATCAATAGCATTTTTGTATTGCAATCACTGTAATTAGGACTTTTGGCTTCCTAGTAGAAAATCAAGATATTCCCGCAAGCCCCAGTTCTATAGGTTGAGTCGGTTCAAGACGTAGTCACATTCAAAACATGAATTAGTTACTGTATTCAATCAAATATGCAACAAATAAGTTCGAATACATCTAAAGAAGAACCATATTACCAATCAAATATGCCACACTTTTTCTAAGTAAACACTTCTACAATTGAAAAACAAGAAGATAAATGAAATGAAATTCTCAATAAGCTAAAATTAGTTTATATATAAATTAATTTATATTATTTTTAATATTTTTATTTTTAACTTACAAATTAATGTTAACTTAGGGATAAATTAATTTTTTTCTCCCTTACAAGTAAACATGGAAAATGTGAGACCCTGGAAAATTAACTCTCCTAAAACCTTGTCAAATCAAATTTAATGCATGGAAAACCCCTCTGCAGTGCATTAAATACGCACTTTCATAACTCTGTCACTCACGCCAAGAGTCACCGGCCGCGGGATAGAATTGGAGTCAGTAATGGGGGCTACAGGTGTCGACGGGGGAGACGCACGTTCGTGCGAATGTGGGAGGAACAAAAAGAATTTTCTGGAAACCCTTCCACTCTCCTGCACTCATCCTCTTCCCTCCAAACTCAGACTCCATTTTTCTCCACCTTCTCTCTAGAACTTTTTTCAACTTCTCTCTACTGAAATTCACCACCCCTTTCTCCGATCACGTTTCAGAGACCGTAGGGACGTTCGCGGATCCGTGAGCTACAGGTTGGACCGAACAGTTTCAAAAGCTGAAACTGATTCGTTTTGGAAGAGTTAAGTGATATTGAGGGTAGAAAAACGTTAGACGAAGCTACAAATCTTGCGCTTAGGACAAAGTTGCTTACAAACCCGGGTAAGGGAAGCTTATTGATTTAATTCATACGCTGTTGTATGTTGCTGAAAACGTATGCATGTTGATGAATGAATGAATGTATGTATGCAGTATGAGTATGAATGCATGATGGATGACGATTGAGATGTATGAGTTTGAACATGGATATTTATGGTGTATGAAATGAATCTGTATGATGATGTTGAATATGAATTATTTAGAATGAATGTTATAAAGTTTATAAAATTGACATTTTTATGAAGTATAAAGTATGAACTGAAATGTTGAAATCTGGGATCTGTTATAGATGAAAAATCTGAATGTAAAAAAAAATTACTCACCATGATAAAGTACGTTCGTCATCGTATGGTCTTATACCGTTCGGTTTCCCTGAAAATGACTTAGAATGGAATTCTTTCATTTGGAAAGAATTTTGATCGAGAATGAGCGTTCTCATTTGAAACACTAGGTTTGAGCGTTCGGCTCAGCTTAGTGATACCGTATATCCTGATTTAAATAATAGTTTATTTCACCTCACACTTTAAATTAAGTAGTGCTCGGTCTTATACCAAGCGTTCGTCCTAAATAGCGCTCGGTCTTATACCAAGCGTTCGTCCTAAATAGCGCTCGGTTTTGTACCTAGCGTTCGTCATGAGTGGCGCTCGGTCTTATACCAAGCGCCCGTATTATTGAATACCCACGTTGATAAATAGCGTCCGTTCAAGTATTGTAATATTTACTTTCCCTTACGTTCGTTCAATTACTGGCATTGGTTTTCGATATACGAATCATTACAAAGATAGTTCCAAATATTCTTGACTCTCCTTCTTACATTATGTCTGGTCTAAGGTCTTTATAATCAAAGTTTCTCTAAGTACCAGTGTACCTCCAAATGAGTCAGTTCATTTAACGGACCAAAACAGATAGTAACGTTCGTTATATATTTCCCCGTCCATTCAGTACCTTTCTCTGGACGTTCGTCCTAGTTCTTCAGAGGACTGAACGTTCGTCATTTTATACTCTTAAATCTAAAGATGAAAATGATGATAAATTATAAGGATTTGAATTGTGAACACTATATTGAGTGATTATACGATTATGGAATTTGAACGAGTGTTCCACGGAGGAACGACTCTTACATATATAATTATTGAATTTGGTAAAGTATGACTGTGGA